CTGGTGGCAAACTTGTCGGATTTGGAACAAGTGTGGGACCCATTTTTTTTTAGCCCCGTTGGCAAAAGACTGTTCGATAGCCATTCTTGAACCTAAAATAAGGAAAATAGGAAATAGAATTAACTAAATCATTCTAAAAACTACTGTACAATCAGATTCCATATAAACCTCTCGCCAGGAAAGATTGCCGGTCACAGAAGACCTGATCTCGGTCTACAACCTGTCTTTTTCTAAAGATATGAGCGACTTCCAGGATAGGATCGTGCCAATCTTGAACGAAAAGTCTTTTCGTTCAACATTGGCACGATCCTATTCCGGAAGTCGCTCGCATCTTAAAAAAACATATATTGTAATTTGACACAAGGTGCGCTGTGACCGGCAATCTTTCCTGGCGAGAGTTATACCGTCTTATTTACTGCCGTAGAGATGAACAATACATTTTTCACCAGCTGATACGATGGATTCTTTTGATGTGCGCGGTTTGTTGAACGTGAACGCAAGATTTTGTAGGTGTGGGTTTTCTAAAAGCTTCCATGCCTTCTTTTTTCCTTGGTTGTACAGCGCCGATGTAGTATCGCAGCCCGTTATCGCATGAAGGAATAGGCGCGAAGAAAGACTGCCTACTATTCCTTCATGCGATAAAGGGCTGCGATACTACATCGGCGCTGTACAACCCAGGAAAAAAGAAGGCATGGAAGCTTTTAGAAAACCCACACCTACAAAATCTTGCATTCATGTTCAACAAACCGGGCACACCAAAAGAATCCATCGTATCAGCTGGTGAAAAATGTATTGTCCATCTCTACGGCAGTAAAGAAGACAATCAAAGCCTGGACGATCTCCAAATTCACGTCTATGCTCGCGCAGTAGCAAAGCAAAGCAAAGCTACGTTTGATCTAGCTACATTGCCGCCAACAACCGCCGCTGCCGAGCAGCACAGTTTGCGGACGTACTTGCAAGTGAGATATGGAATCTGATTGTACAGTAGTTTTTAGAAAGATTTAGTTAATTCTATTTCTTATTTTCCTTGCTTTAGGTTCACGAATGGCCATCGAACAGTCTCTTGCCAACGGATTGGGGCTGGAAAAAAATGGGGCCCACACTTGTTCCAAATCCGACAAGTCTGCCACCAGCACCAGACGAACATCTACATCTGATTTCTTGCGCTTGCCAGCAAGGTTGTTTTAACCGCTGTTCGTGCCGCTCTGCCAACCTACACTGCACTTTAATGTGCGCGCATTGTAGAGGCAGGAGCTGTAATAATGTTATAATGTTATATATAATAATGTTCCCGAACCCCCTTTGTTTTACGACGAAGTTTACTCAAAAATTTTTATTTGGATTGTTTTGTTTAGAAAAAAATACAGTACAGTTTCCCTCAAAATTTACGCACTAAACACATTCCAAAAGTCTAAAACGCTCACAGTCAAAATACAAATAAGTCAGAGATGCGCCGCTATTAAGCCAACCGTATCTGGTCGATCTGGTGCACCTCTCAGGCAAGTCGCGCAACGGCGAGCGGCGCGTGGGATCGCACTTAACGGTTTGTAGCTCCCCTCCTATTGGTCGGATTTCAACGCAAAGGGTACGGTTTTAAAGTTAAAACTACGCTCTACAACATTTGTTTTGGTCATTTTTCCGATATCGGACGCTAAATCGCACCTATGTCCAAACAAAAAACAAAAACCGATTTTTTTGTCAAGTTTCGCGGTCTTTTTCCACTTCCTGTCTGGCCGGAAGTTGTCACTGGCACTTGCAAAAAATATCAAAAGATAGCCTGGTTACTAACCTTTAATTTAAGCCCTCCCGCGACTCTGGGACTTGTTCCGTTCGTCCGCTAGGCTATAATTATAGTGGCGTCGTGCAGATTTCAAGAGTTCGGACTTTCGAAAGCCCGAACTTCAAGGAAGCCGACATGGGAATTCTTGGGACTTTTTATATGTTGTTCAGGGCATCAAATAGAACAACTGTGCCAACTTTCAGATTTACGTTATTTTTCGTAGGGTTGACCCCATTTCTGATCTAAAATGCCTGGGCTAAATGCACTTAATTGGAAGTTAAGGTGTGTTTTATGTTCATCCACAAACAAAATTATTGGAAATATCACATTCATTTCCACCACACTTTTATAAAACACATTACCAATGTACTCATAAAAAACTTCGGACTTCATCCATCCATTGTCGCCATTACCGATGCCCCAACCTTTCGGAACAGTATCGACGATTGACTTTGGCATCCTTTTATATGGATAAATGATCATTGGAGGAGTTACTCTGCCGTCAGCACAAAAAGAAAACATTACAGTCAGATTTGATTTGGAACTAGCAGCGTCAACTTCATAGACATCCTTCGACCTCTTCTGGGCGACCACCTTTCCTTGTTTTGGGCAAAACATGAAAACGGTTTCATCGCCATTAAATATGCGACTGGGATCTTCCAAAATGTCGTCATATCCTTTTGATTTAAGGTATTCTCCAACTTGAGTGAACCAACCCTTTATGTCAGTGAAAGCAATTTGGCTACTAGCATATGTCGCCCAAGAAAAGCTTGAAACCATTTCTTTCCCGGCATATTTTGTTTGAAAAGTGGCACCGTTGTACCAAGGTTGTCTAAGTAATGTTTAAAAGATAATTGAATATCAGTTTTGCGCCTCGGAAAACCTTTCCTTTGGCACTCCAGAATCCATTTTACCAAGCTTTCTTCTGCATCAGCCGATAAAACTTCTTCGGTATAATTTTTCACGTATTTTTGCGTGTTCTTTACTTTCGGCATACTAATGAATATTTATCTGAAAGGAATTAATAATTGCAATACTTCTACCCCGCAAATTAATTAAATCTACAGTTAAGTAGCAAATAAAAACAAAGTGCCAATAACTAAATACAACAGAAATCTCCAAGTATCGACATTCAAATCTGTGCTAGTAGTTGGCACCAATAAAATTCGCTGAAAAAGTTGTGTTTTGATGTTAAAACAGAATAAAATTGTTAGAATATATCATAACTCATAATGAAAATTTAATATTAAACCTAGTTTACCGAAATTAAAGCAGTAATGATGGATAATCGAAATCACTTACCCTTAAGAAAACACTAAGAAAATCACTATACCTACAACAACATTACTTTCTCGAATAATGCTTTGACTAACTGAAATGCTACATGGAAATGGCTTGCGCAGTCGTAATAAGTATAGAAATAAGTATAATTTTCGCGGTTAATTTAAATTAAAATCGTCATTTTAACTTAGATATAGGCTGAAATAAATGAAGGTGCCAATAACTGATGGGGGTGCCAACAACTGGCAGGTTTACCCTACTTGCAACAGGGATGTGGCTCTTGTCCCTACATGTTTGAATGGTCGCCTCGTTTGTTTTCCTTCGCAACACGTCACACACTTGTTTGCTGTGTCGACAATCTTGTCGCCATCAATTCCTTCTACGGCACCATTCTTCATCTTCATTAAATCTCGAAAATTAAGATGTCCAAACCTGCGATGCCAGATATCGCTGTTGGCTGCCGAGGACGAGGCCAGCAAACATCCTTGTGGTTTTACGTTTAGTCGATATACGTTGTTAACCAAATCTGCCGTTGCTACTAACGTACCCGTTTTGTTGTATACTTTACAAACGTCTGCCTCAAACAGGACACATGCCGCTTTAGTAATCGTGATCTTATGTTCCTTACCTTCAGCCATAGTTGTAATATTGACGTTCCCTGTGCAGGTAACACGAAGCTTATCATTATTAGCTAATGTAATTTCCTTTACTTCATTGTCCCCAGTAACGTCACTAAGTCAATCTGATCTCGCCGTTAAATGGTTGCTCGCACCCGAATCCACATACCAGTCACTACTATTAAATTGTCCACTTAAAAATACTGCACTGAAAGCGTTCGTAGGATTTTCATTGCCCTTGGGACATTTGTTTTTATAATGTCCTACCTGCCTGCACTTGAAGCATTTCACCCCAAATTTATTTTTGGAAGAGTTACCTGTATTACCGGCAGCGTAATGTTTGTTTACGTTTTTGGTTTTACTGGTACTTGCAATAGCATTCCCTGCACTATCGACACTACAAAATGGCTCCATATCCATAAGCTTGGTTTTGATTTTATCTGCCGTCATGTCGATCCCACTGTGCTCGATTGCCATTATCATCGGTGCGTACTTGTCCGGTAACCCCGCAAGAAGTAACGATCCCATCCATTTATCATCCACTACGAAGCCTGTGCCTTTCAATTTTTGCGCCGTGTCGATCATCTGATTGACGTAGCTCTCCATGGATTCACAATCGTCCCGCCGAATGGAAATGAGCGTTCGAAGCAGCCCAATTTTTTCTTGAAAATCCCGAATCATCGAACAATTCTTTTAACTTATCCCACACTTCCTTTGCCGTCTTAGCTTCTTTAATGTGTACGTAAAGCGATGCGTCGATAGATAACACTAACTTCGCCTTAGCTTTCGCGATTTTCGTCACGTCTTCGCACTTGCCATCTATGCACCCTTCCAAAGCGTCTAGCACTAGGAAATTACTTACTGCGAAAGTCCAATCGCTGTAATTTTCTCTCCCTTTCAATTTTGGCACACTAGATAAAATACTGAACGACGACATATTTAGAAACACACAACAAACACGCGAATTACTGGTCAATGGCGGCCTGGGCCCATAACCTATTAAAACGACAACGACGTTTACTTGTTGCGAGTTCACAAGGAAGTAATCGCACATTTTGGGTCTATTCCGAGTCGCACATATGCGCATGTATGCGTGTATATGCGCGAGAGAAATGTTTCGAATGGAACAAATGTGGCATTTTTAATGCGTCATCTATTGGGACTCAAAACTTCTTTCCCGTGCATTCACTACATCACAAGTTTGCTAGTGTGGCTAATGCGAGTGTGCGCAATGTTTGTTTTTCGTGCTATTTGCTATACCGCCATGACTAATACATAACCTTTATTTGATTGATCTCTATTTTTAACGTCCTTGATTTCTATCCTTCAAATTTCGATTTAAAAAACTTATAAACATGGATAATGAACTAGTGGAATTACCAGTTCTTGTTGGAGAAGAAGTCATTACATTAGTTGTAACGTCTGATGAATATACCCAAGCTGTAAATGGTAAGTAATTATAAATGGTACATCGACTTTATGGCTTTAATTCTCCAGATGAGACTTATTTAAAAGAACTTGTTAGCAAGTCTTGTTTATCTCTAGAACCTGTCCAGAAAACAATAGAGAAAGTTGGTGCTCCAAATCCTACAGTTAGCAAGTCGCGTTCACCTCTTGCGCTAGTCCAGGAAAAAATAGAGGAAATTGGTGCTCCAGAGCCTATAGTTAACAAGTCTAGTTTAACTCCTGCACCCGTCCAGGAAATAATAGAGGAAGTTGGTGCTCCAGGACCTAGTACAAAGGGTTCAAATAGTTCCGGTAAATAAACCTTATTTTGATTTTGTCTAGCTACAATAGTGTTTGTAGAAAAAGAAAACATAGTATGGCGTGACACAAATGTGCTAATGTTTCTTGACGTGTACAGGAATTTTGAATCTCAGTTTGAAGCAGCTGGGAAGAAAAATAGCAATGTTTGGGGTCGTATTACTGAAATAATTTCTAAGCCAGGTTTTGCTGTAACTGGGCTACAGTGTAGTGTAAAAATGGCCGGTTTAAAAAGGACATATAAAACCATCAAAGATGCCAATAGTACTTCAGGAAATTCACGTACAACATGGCAATATTTCAATGTATGTAAAACATGTGACAAGTCTAAAACTGTTTATAAATATTAATTGTAGATTATGGATGAAATATTTGGAAAAAAAGGATACATGTCTCCACCAGCCATAGCCAGTTCCGATGGGCCATCAGAGCCCTCAGAAGAAACTTTAGCAACAGGTAGTTCAGTGGTTACATTATTTCATATTTCTGATAAAATTGAATTTTCAGAAACTAAAAAAAGGAAAAAAAATTTTTCGCAGTTAATTTACGAGGATATTCAAAAACAAAAAAAAGTTAAAGAAACAAAGGAAGAAGAAAAGCAGCGAGAAAGCTTACGTAGGCATAATGAAAAAATACAAGTTGCAAAAGACCTTGTTACCACTCTTAAAGAATACTTAAATAAGTAGTTACCTGGTTATATGCCTTTAGAAAATTATTTTTTTTATATTTCAAGTTTATTTCTTAATCTGAAATTTGAAGAAATGTGATATTATATTTTATCAGGTTGTTCGGAAAGTCATTTCGTTTTTCTTCAACAGAGAACCTAATTGTATTGTTTCACAGCCAACTTTACACTTAAGCCGCATAAACATTAAAATTTTGACAGCTGACATAGTAATGCTTGTATGTTAAAAGTTTTGTTTGATTCTTTGCAATAGTTTTTGTTTGGTGCCTTATCAAAGATGGAAAATCAAAATCAGCATTTTCGGCATATTTTACTCTTTTACTATCGAAAAGGTAAAAATGCAGTTCATGCAAGGCGGAAATTATGCGATGTGTATGGAGAAGATGTACGGACTGAACGACAATGCCAAAATTGGTTTGCAAAATTTCGGTCCGGCAATTTCGATCTTGAACATGCACCACGTTCTGGAAGACCCGTTGAAGCCGATGGAGACCAAATAAAGGCATTGGTAGATGCAAACCGTCAAATAACAACTCGTGAGATTGCTGAGAGGTTACATTTATCGAATTCGACCGTTCATCATCACGTGAAACGTCTTGGTTTTATTTCAAAACTTAACATATGGGTTCCACATGTTCTTACAGGGCGAAATTTGCTTCGGCGCATTAACGACTGTGATTTGCTTCTCAAACGTATCAAGCGTATCATTACTGGCGACGAGAAATGGGTTGTTTACAAAAATGTTAAGCGGAAGAGATCATGGAGTAAAAAAGGTGAACCAGCTCAAACCACTGCGAAGGCCGATATTCACCAAAAAAAGGTTATGCTATCTGTTTGGTGGGATTTCAAAGGGATAGTTTTTTTTTAGCTTCTACCGGACAATACCACGATTAATTCTGAAGTGTACTGTGGTCAACCGGACAAATTGAACGATTCACTTAAACAGAAAAGGCCAGAATTGGTCAATAGAAAACGTGTAGTGTTCCACCACGATAGTGCGAGACCTCACACAAGTTTGGTAACCCGCCAAAAGCTTTTACAGCTTGAATGGGATGTACTACCACACCCACCATATTCTCCAGATTTGGCACCTTCAGACTACTACTTGTTCCGGTCTCTGCAAAATTTTTTGGACGGGAAGACCTTCACCTCAAATCAAGACGTCAAATTTCACTTGGACCAGTATTTTGCCAGCAAAAACCAGAAGTTTTATGAGCGTGGAATCAATCTCCTGCCCGAAAGATGGCAAAAGGTATTGGACCAAAATGGAGAATATATAATTTAATAAAATGTTTTTGCACTTTAAAAAAATCGTCTTTCATTTTCACCACACAAAACGAAATGACTTTCCGAACAACCCCAATAGTTACTTTGTTTATTAGGAATATCTTCTTTAGACAGTTTATTGTGAGTTTTTATATAAGATTTTTTGTTTGAAATTTGAAAAAATGTGATGTTTTAGTTATTTTGTTTATTAGGTATATCTTCTGTAGACATTTTATTGTGAGTTTTTATATTTAGATTTTTTTGTTTGAAATTTGAAGAAATGTGATGTTTTAGTTACTTTATTAGGAATAAATCTACATAAGTATCTATACAACAAACTCATTTTTTATGCCTATTCTAAGTTGTTCATAATATCATTTCTTTTAGCATTTCCCAAAACACTCGATTGAAGCAAACCCTTTTCTGTTTATGTAAGATGGGCCATCAATATTAGGCGTCCTTATTTTTATGCGAGTCCCATCTATGGCTCCAATTATGCCAGGAAAGCCTTGCTTTGCTTGGAATTGGTTGATTGTATTCATAGCCTTGTCGCCTGTGGGCCAAACAATAAACCTAGGAGCCAGACAATGTAGAGCATAAGTGACTCTTCGCACTGCTCGAAATGCAGTTGCACTACCAACATTGAAACGTTGACAAACTGATCTACAAATTTTTGAAATTTAAGTAAAGTGCAAAATAGTGAGAAGAAAGGAATAATACCTATTAACAATTAACAATTGCTTTGACGCAGGTATTGGTTTTTTTCCAGATATCTTTGAAGTTGTAGAAATAGCTGGTCCAATCACTGATAACACAAATTCAAATGTTTCTGGATGCATTCTGGAATTTATATAAACATTTAAAATATTGCTTAAATGAGAGATTTTTAAAACACACCTGTAATTTTTCTTAAAATTATTTCTTGATAAATCTAAAGCTACATAATCTGGTGCTGGTGGTTTATGTTCTTTTTTTGCCAAATTAGTATATATGTATGCCCTTTCCCTTTCAAAGTCACTTTCTTCACTACTAGAACAAGAGTCTAGTAAGTTTTCAACAAAATTTTGTAACACAACACTGACCATTGCTTTTTTTTTATTTGTGCCAATTTCCATCTCTGCTATAGCTATTGTTTAAATACGTCTAGAATTGGGAATAATTAAATTGTACAAATGTGAGGTTATGTTGAATGTTTATAAAACTCTGAACGCATATGAACCACATAAAAGCGTTTCTAGTGAAAACCGTTGCATTTAAAAGAATGCGTAAATGCTGAAATGAAACGTGTACAAATGTTTTAATGCTAAATGCGTCATATGCGTCACTCGGAATAGACCCTTTATTAACACCAGTACATCAGTTTAAATACATCGGACAGATGTCGCTGCATAAACCACAGATATAATCTAACAGTTCCATGACGATTTTATTATTGAATTGGCAGCTCGGATACAAGCTTTAATTTTAATGACGACACAACTTCAAAATTGACGAATCTCCTCCTCTTGAATAACTTGAAACTAATAATAAATAATAATAATAAATATGCTTTATTATGCAGTATATATGCAGCATAATCTCAGGGCGAGGTTCAGCATCGCTGTTCTTCCACCTAAACCCTGAATTAAATAACAAATAACAACAAAAATGTTGCTTATTACTAACTAAACCTATCATTCTGTGATTCTAAATAATATTTTACTATGCATCCAAACCAAAACAAAAATCTAATTATAAAATTAATACAAAAAAAAAAAAGTGAACAGGGTTTACGAAATTATAACAACTTAAGCATTAGAATTAGTTTCAAATATAAATATGCTCAAATAAGAATATGCTCGTCCATTAACATATTACGAATTTTGACTTTAAACGTGTTAGGAGAACTATTTACTAACTCGGTTGACAAACAGTTGTAATAACGATACACATTATATCAAAATGACCTTTGAAATAAAGCAGTAGAATGGAGGGGAGGAGAAATTTTTCCACGAAATCTTGTATCAATGTTGTGCACGTCAGTTCTAAATGTAATGGTATTGTATAAGTATGGAGGGCTTTTATAAATAATAATTTTATGAAAAAGACAGAACAGTTGCAGTTCCCTACGGTGATGCATAGAAAGCCAGTTGGCATCTTTTAACTTATGGCTAATATGTTCGTATTTACGTATTCCATAGATAAAACGTAGACATGAATTTTGTACTCTCTGTATTCTAGTAGAGGTAAGTTTATCTATGGATGGGTGATAAACAGGAACACAATAATTAAACTGAGACAACACAATTGCTTCACAAAGTCTTATTCTAGTTTTAATGGTGAGAAAAGATCTTTGCCCGTAAAGTATCCGCAAAATCCGTGAACACTAACTTAGGACAGCAATCGGAAAACTATTCCTGTTCACTTTTTCTTAATTTAATTGTGTAACTTAAGACTTCGAAACACCGGCCGACTACCGGAAAAATGCGTATTTCAATTTACACGCAACTGACTGTTACGTACGCTCCCTAATTTTCAGAGAACGAGACCGTCCCGTTAAATCGGCGCGCCAACTATTAGATAGACCAAGAGCTCGCGTATAAAAAACCGCATGGTTTGACTAATGAAAGGGATAGTGCGTAAGATAGTAAAATAATAACCGCTCGTCTGCCGTTGGTAAGTGGTCACCCGTATGCCCTACTATGAGATGAATTTTGAAAAAATCGACACACAATCTCGTTATTAGTACCAAGTTGAAATATGTGTTAAAACATGCGGAAACATCATTAGTTAACGAAACCAAATTGGCAGACGCGTTAGTTGGTAGCATTTTTGAGGCAGACGCAACTAAAGACGTCGAAAATCACTCAAAATCGTGTGATAGAGTATCAGTTTAAAAGTTGTGTTAAAATGTGTGAAAAAATGTCCTTAATCGATATGTGAAGTAAAAAATTTGAAAAGACGGTAGCATTTTCGTAGCAGACGAAGTAAACATTTTCATGCCATCTCGTGCGGCACGTATATTGTAACGCGGTAGAGTGAGACGCTTGCGCTGTGGCGATCTTAATACATCATATAGGCACAGCTTACAATAAAAAAGTGATATAGGTACGTAAAGCGCAGTATTCGTTTTATTGTAAGAATATGGATGATGAACCGTGTTCGTCTGCAAGTGTGCGACAATGTTGCATCCATATTTCAAATTCAACCTCCGCAGAAGTCAAGACATTTACTGTGGAAACATTAAAAAAATGTCGAATTGCATTAGCTGGAAGAATAAAATTTAAATTGAGCCACTGGTATGTGTATTTGCCGGTGTCCCATGAGTCGTTGGCTTTCGGCTACCATACGGGTTGCTATAGAAAATTTACCGCTTTGAAAAATTGTCATACTGAACAAATTACTGAACCTGAAATAAGCGATTTGATTCAACAAGAAACTATAGAAAAAGCATCTGAATCTAAAAAGTGCCGTTTAGTTCAATGTGACGAACGCTCTACCAGATCAAAACAAAATATTTTAAAAAATACAAAAACTGGAATTTTAAAAACGACTTGTATATTTTGTGATAAATGTTTCATATATGTTAAAAGGAAAAGGAAAAGCTCGGTGCTTGCCAAACTACTATATTTGAACAAAACATTATGCACAAGCGTTACAGGACAATAAGCTCCTATGTAAAATTAAAGATATCGATTTTGTTGCAAAGGAGGTATAATACTATCACAGATTGTGCCGTTCAAAATTTACAAAGCGGTATATGAAATGTGCACACAAAAATAAAAGACGTACTAAGTGGCATACAATTCGATCGTATCATAAAAACGCAGTTAAAAATTGACAAATTTTATACAGTTACATATTTTGGAAAAGGAGGATTCTTTCTACATGCTTGATTTATACAAAGTATATCTTCAATGTTGCTTTGAAGAAGCCGGTTGTGCTTCCTATGAAACGGGAAAAACATACACGCAGTCATTTGCAACAAAAATTTCAAATTTTGTTTGGAAGAGCATAATGTGGCAAGATGCGTGTCAAGTCGGAAGTGCCGAACCTGTGATGCCAAGCATCACTCTTTGCAACACTTTTCGCCGCGGCCTTCTACTCCAGTCGCTCACCCTGTCGCATCGAGCTCCTCTTCGAATCAGTTGACACAGTCTACACTCATGGCTTCCAATTCAGATCGTCCTCCCGTTTTGCTCGATACCATAGTTTTAGAAATTAGAGATCGTTTCGGTAGTTACCATATCGTTCGGGCCTTACTGGATCCTGGCAGTCAAGCGTCCTATCTTTGTTCGAGCTTAGCAAACAAACTTCGTTTGCCTAAGGAAACTAATGCAGTGCCCATCTGTGCTTTAGGGAAAATCGCAACCAAATCGTCGTTTATAGTTACTGGAGAAATTCGTCCCAGTGATCGTACTGATCCCACATTTAAAGTAGATTTTTTAGTTTTGGATAAAATTTGTGGCAACTTGCCAAATGATAATGTCAGTTCTGATATCCCCATGCCTGATAGAATTAGATTGGCGGATTATGAATGGCACAGGTCTCGTTCAGTTCAGATGTTACTGGGCGCAGACATCTACCCTCAAATCGCTAGCCCTGGTCTAGATAGGAGATGTAGACATTTGGAACACCCTTTCTTGTTGGGTACAATATTTGGTCATGTAGTGTTAGGTCCGGTCAATGGCGCCAGGCCTCAACAAACCGTTACTTCGTTGTTTTCGTCGCTTAGTTCGCCTTCTTCCGTTCACTCGCCTTTGTCGTCCCTAGATAAAGTCGTCGAGCAATTTTGGAACGTCGAGGAAGTTCCGCCTGCACCAGCTGCAATCACTCCTGAGGAGGAACGCGCGAAATCCATTTTTAGAAATTCCTTGTATAGGGAACCATCTGGTCGTTTTGGTGTTGCGCTCCCATTCAAGGCTTCAGATCCCGATTTCGAGGGTTTTTTAGCTATCGCCGATCGTCGGCTACGTTCGTTAGAAATTCGTCTCGCCTCAAAACCAATAGCCAAGTCGCTGTACGTGGATTTCATGAGAGACTATCTGGATTCTGGTCACATGACTCCATTGTCTTCTGAGCCTATTGGTAATAATTGCTATTACATTCCGCATCATGGTGTCTTCAAGTCGGGAGAAGAAAATTCAAATATTCGGGTTGCGTTTAATGCCTCGGCGAAGATATCAACTCGGAAATCACGTAATGATACCCTTCTCGTTGGGCCAAAACTGCAAAACAATATTGTACAATTGCTGCTGCAATTCAGAGTACATTCGGTTGTCTTCACCTGCGACGTTCGCTAAATGTATGGTCAAATCCTTATCCGCCTCGAGGATCGTAAATATCAACTCATTCGGTGGCGATTCTCACCTACGCGACCCATAGCGACATACCAGTTGAACACTGTCACCTATGGTGTTCCTTCTGCACCCTTTTTAGCCATTCGAACCTTGGTTAGAACTCGCAGCAACATTTCCCTTTGGCCGCTCAAGGCATTCGCACTATGTATGTGGATGAAGCTAAAAACTTCGTTGTAGAGTTGGTAAATCTTTTCGCTCTGGGTTGTTTTGAACTTCGTAAATGGACATGTAATCGTATGGAAGTGCTAGATTCCGTTCCTTTAGAACATCGGCAATTTCAAACTTATTTGTTCGAAGGTGACTCTGACAGTACCAACAAGATCCTTGGGCTTCAGTGGAATTCGACCTCTGATACCTTTTCGTTCATGGTAAATCCACGTGAGACGCCTTGTTCTAAACGCTCATTCTTGTCGCAGTTAGCTCGAATTTATGACCCTCTTGGCTGCACGGTCATTTCCCCGCCGACAAAATCCCGCCGGTGAACTGCCAGCCGGTGAAATGCCCGCCTGGTAAAAATCCCGCGCGGTAAATTTCCCGCTGAGAAAATGCCCGCCGTGACAAATCCCCGACGGTCAATTCCCCGGCGGTCAATTGACAAAAGACTTCCTGCGAGCAATCAGTAGGCAAGTTAACCACTATGTAATAATTTTAATATGACTAATAAATAATTCAATAATATAATTATGTCGATTTTAAAAAAATTATAAGATTTAAGATACCAATAGGTAGATTATTCCTCAGATATGCTAAAATTGCAATAGAAAGTTCCCTCCTGCGCTAATTAAAAAAATATTAAGAATATTGCTATTATAATATTATAAGGCATATTACTCAGATATGTCCTAATGTGCTGAAATTAAAATAGAAAGTTTTCTCCCCCGATGATTAGAGCATTAGCTTTAAGACTAATGGCCTAATTATTATAAATAGGTAATTTTAAAATGGTCTGGATTTAATTATTCTTTTGCTTTGTGCGTGTGTGTGTTATTTGTAATAGATATGGCGTTACAGTTTTTAAAAAGTCAAAGAGGTAAGAGTTACTATTATTTATTTAATTCCTGCTGCATTCGTTATTATTTTTTATGGTTACTATTTTTGTTGTTTGGAGGAGTGTAAAGAAAGGTACAAACGAGGGGAAAACCACTTTGAATTTTTGTGTACATTTAGTTGAATTTTTTTTTAATTTGCGTGAATTTTCTTGATTTGATTTTGAATTCTTCTTATGAAGTGCTCCATGAAACGTGTCCTGATTATTAAGTATATTACGTAGGTATATTGCCTATAAGAACACGTTTAATAGTTTATTATATTTTCTTTGGATTTAATGTTACAACATCTGAGATATACATGTTTTTAGCTCGGCCTGATGATGATTCGTTATAATCGAAATCGATAGCCAAAGAAAATATAATAAAGTATTAAACGTGTTCGTATAGTCAATATACCTACGTAATATACTTGATTTTGAATATTCTTGATTTCCATATAACTTGATGAATTTTGACAATGTCTGAATTTTTTGTATTTTATCTCGGAATTTTTGCTTATTTCATTTGAATTTTCAGGAATTATTTCGGAATTTTACAAATTTATCCTGATATTTTTTGTTTTAATTTTCGTAAAATCCTGTAATGTATGAGTGTAAGTCCCGGTATTATTGAATTGTAAAATTGGAAATACCTATGAAATAACCCAACTACGTATATTGTATTTTTTTTATTGCACCTACCAATTCAAAATTTAATTTAGAACCCGTCCAAAACCTAACAAAAAATTAATAGTATGAAATCCCTATAAATTTTTTGAATTTATCCGAATTGTTTCGAGTTTTTTTGAATTTCAATTTTTGTGTGCCTACACCTAATTGTATAGTTGTTTCCCCCTCGAGTACAAAATTTCTTTAGAGTGTAATCACAATTGATTTGTTTTTAGGTAAAGATATGCTCGTACTAGAAGGATATTTATTTGAGAAAGATAAAATGGCGGACGATGGTCGTATATTTTGGAAGTGTGTAGAAGCAAAGAAAGGGAAATGTTCAGCTAGACGGCATACTCTAAACGATGCAGTAGTTAAGTCATTGCTGGACCACAATCACGTTCCAGATATTGCTGCAATAGAAGCGAGGAAAGCAATTAATTCTATTAAAGAGCGCGCAAAGACAACAAGAGATGCCGGCTACGCTGTTATTGTTGTGGAATCCTCACAGTTACTCGAACCTGTTCAAGCTAAGTTACCGAATGTGGAATGCATCAAACGAACTATTAGGCGGCAACGACAACTTCAAGGGAACTATCCTGCAAATCCAAATTCACTGCGAGAATTGAACATTCCAGATGACATGCGTCTTATATGTGTGAATGGTCAGCAAGAACCATTTCTTTTGTTCGACAATGGGCCAGACACTGAACACCGAATATTAATCTTCAGTACCCAACGAAATTTGGAACTACTGGAAAGGTAAACCCTATGACCTCTTAGTTTATACGATAATCATGAATTTCTCATTTTCAGATGTGAACATTGGTATGCAGATGGTACCTTCAAAACCACGCCACCGCTCTTTACCCAAGTGTATACGATACACGGTGTGAGATTTAATACTTGTATACCATCAGTTTTCGTCTTACTGCCTGGTAAAAGTAAAGTTCTTTATCAAGAGATGATACAAGCACTAAAAGGACTTAGACCAAATTTAAAACCGTCTACCATAATGATAGACTTTGAACGTGCTGCAATTGAAGCGTTCCAAACGGAGTTCCCAGAAATATTGGTTAGAGGTGAGACTTATTGAAACAAAAAAAATTTCGTAAACCATTTTTTTTTTCAAATAGGGTGCTTCTTCCACTTGGGTCAGTGTATATGGAGGAAGGTACAAGAACACGGGAAAGCAGTACGTTACGCGAATGATGTTGAATTTGCTGTTCAAGTTAAGATGTTAACTGCAATATCGTTTTTACCTTTACATGATGTGGTTTTGGGATTCGAAGAACTCATGGACACAGAATATTACAGAAACGAAATCGACCTCCACCCTATATGCGACTACTTTGAAGATGTCTGGATTGGACGCCCACATAGAAATATCCGTAGACCGCCGTTATTTCAATATAATTTATGGAATTTCTATGACGCTACAAACAATGACCTTCCGAGAACTAACAACTCTGTTGAAGGTTGGCATCGTCGTTTTACAGAACTCATATCTGCTCAGCATCCAAGTATCTGGAGGTTTATTGCTGCAATAAAGGAAGAGCAACATATGAATGAAATCGCCATTTCCCACTATATCCAAGGACGAGACGGACCTCGACAGAAAAAAAAATATCGAGATTTAAATATTAGAATTAAAAATTGTGTAGCAAGGTACGACGCCAATGAAAAGGTAGCGTTTCTAAGAGGGCTAGCCCATAATTTAAATTTAAATGTTTGACGATGAAGATTATTATAATATTAAGTTATCTATAAGTAATTTCAATTAATTAATAAATTTTGTATTAGCAATCATTTTTAGTTTTTGTATCCATCAAAGAAGATAGAGAAAAAGGAAAAGTTTGTATAATAACATTCTAACAATGGCAAAGACGGGCAATTAGTTTACGCGGGCTATTTTTACGGCGGCCAAATGACCAAGGGGAATTTCTCCGGTCGGGAATATTACCGTGCGGGGAAATTACCGGCGGGGAAATGACCGGCGGGATGATTGATTCGGGAAAATCACCGGACACGCCTCGCGCCTATTAGTTTTTTCGCTAAATGTCTCATCCAACAGATTTGGCTATTAGGTCTTGGATGGGATGCTACTCCTCCTCTTGAGATTATTTCACAGTGGAATCAGTTTAAGTCTGAATTACCTGCCCTTGCATCGTTGCAAATCCCTCGCAATGTAACTCCAGATGGCTTCTCTTCGTGTGTCTTGCATGGGTTTTGCGACGCCTCGGAGCGTGGTTACGCTGCCGTCGTTTACCTTTGCTTCTCGTTCTCCGATGGAACGTTCGTTACTCGTCTCGTCATTTCCAAATCAAAGGTTGCGCCAGTGAAACAATTATCGATCCCCCGCCTCGAACTGTGTGCAGCTGCTCTTTTGGCAAAATTGGTAAAATTCGTGTTGAAAACTTATCATAATCTCATTGTCATAGATAACATCTTCGCGTGGTCCGACTCCACAATCGTTCTTACTTGGACACGTGCGTTACCAAGACAATGGAAGGTATTTGTGAGATCGTGTAGCTTACATTCACGAGCGTATCTCGCCTGGATGCTGGCACTATATCCCTTCGCAGCAAAATCCTGCTGATCTCGCGTCTCGTGGGCTGCTCCCTAGTGAGATTGTGTCTCATTCCATGTGGTGGTCAGGACCCACATTTCTGTGTAACTCACTTAGTTCCTGGCCTTCACAGCCAATTGATAATTCGCCTCGTTTGGAAGAATTGGAACAAAAGCACTCGAGTATCGTTTCTTGTTTCGCTCAAAATTTCATTGGATCTTCAGACCATTTTGTTCATGATCTTTTAACTCGAGTTTCCTCGTTGAAAAGGATACAAATCATTGTAGCTTACATTTTAAGATTTTGCCATAACCTTGGACATCCATCAGATAAGTACATAGGTCCCTTGTCTTCCAAGGAGTGCCATAATGCGTTGTTGTTCATAACTAAAGTGATCCAGGAAGATGTAGACGTTAAAGATGTGGTGGGAGGATTGAGACTTATATAAGCTTCTGTGTGTTCGTTACAAGGTATACATGTATTAAAAATGTCGTGGATGGCTTATGCTGAAGAATCATGGAGCAAAGCTGTCGATTTCATGACGGCAGTGAGACGCCTGAAGCAGCATTTTTCGGCATTAGCATTTGATGCAGAGCACGAGGCGATATATGGAAAAGGTGAATATAGCCCAGAGGAGTGCCAAGCTATTGCCAAAAAGTATGAGTTAGGTGAAGCAATATGTGACAGTTACTTAAGCTATAAAATATGTGACGAGTGTATTATCCGGAAACTAAGGGATACAAAGTTGGAGCAGTTTAGTCAAGAGTTACAAAAGCGTGGAAGAATGAAGAATCATCAGCATCTTCTTCCGGTGAAGAGTGTTAGATTCGATTAATCGATAATAGAACGTACATAATGGTGGCATGGCATTTTGCTTATTGGGCAGCAAGGAAAGGACCATGGGAAACAAGGTCACCATTTGCGCAAGACTGTAAGCAACTAGTAGGTGTTCAAACGCTGACAATGCAGTTATTTGATTCCGGAAATCATACGATGTGTTGTTCTCACTTATTAAATAAACTATCCCTTAAAACACCGGTACCAGCTAACATTTTACAGAACATGTTAGAAAGCACAGTAGTACTTACACCGATAATAATCTATTCCCCCACTCGCCGAAAAAAGTGTTACCGGGTAACAATAAACCATTCCCGGCACCGTTGGTGGATGGTGACCAATGTAGTGTCATTACCATCCATTCGGATAACACAACAGTCCAGTATCATTACTTTTGCCTTTGATTTTATGTAGCAATGATAATTTGTTATAGAACTCCTGCCAACCTGTGGGAGAATTTTGATGTGGAGTTAGTAATGGCGCAATTAGACGGTGACGCTGCGGACCATTTATACTCCAGCGAACGGTTAGTATAAAAGTTTATGTTTAATGGGATATAATAGATAGCGTCACAAGCGCACCAACTCCTGTAAAAATGCTGCAGAAGTATGCAAATCAACTGCAAGAAACGCAGGAAAAAACATCTCAATTGGAACGTCAAGTGGAGGCGTCCCGGATGGAGGAAAGAAAAATTGAAGGAGACATGCGGTTACATTTTAAGTTTTGTAAATTTTTGTGGTAAAAAATAATGTATATAGGTAGTTTTAATAAATAAAAGGTTGTAAGATAGTTTTAATAAATAAAAAGTTGTAAGATAATTGTCGTTTACATTGAACAAAAAAATTGTTCACATTACTTACTAATCAAGAACAATAACTTCGAAAATTTTGCGCTCCTGGAATTTTTAAATTTGTCGTGGGTTCTATGCAGTTTAAAAATTTTTCTCAAGGGCAAATGCATTTTATAAGAAGTGTTTTATCTATTGGAAGTATAATTTTCCAAAAATTTCAATGCACGAATAACGGTAAACGCAGCTGACCAAAGAATGAACTTCGTTCCCGCGCGCCGGATACGCAGTTGCGGGTTGAATATTTTTTTTTCTACAATAGATATCCAAAGTAGGCATTTGCGCTCGTATTTGACAACGCAAACGTCATCTTTTTCGAGGAATGTCACTTTGTCGCTTATAAGCGACAAAATAGAAAAAAACGCTCGCTCTCCCAATTATTAACTATAAATCAAATATGCATTGCTCAGAGTATCCAATGACAACGAGTAAATGACATCTTTCATTTGGGCATAACATTAAAATGATTTGAGTGAAAAATTGAAATATTTGGAAATATGTGAACTGCTCGATTGTAGAAAAAACCTTGTGTGTAATTCGAGCGCAAATTGATTGTAGATTTCAAGAGATTGCCGCGCTCCTTCGTCGCGCGTCAACTGTCTCTTTCAATCAACAATATATCATTTTGCGCTCTTAATACACAAATAGCTATTATCGCGCGTTTAAATTCCGTGCGATGCACTTTTTCTATGCATAATCTTTTCTAGGTACGATGTTATAGAAATTAGGTCGAACAAATACGTGTGCATGAGACAATTTCACGCTTAATATTTTTTTAGGGAAAACGCAACATGAAAAATTGCACATATTTGACTCGGGTGCATTTACAATAACGTCGCCGCATTTTTTCGTTATGTATATATTTAATTATATTCGCGCTCCGCCCTCTATGATCTAAGACATGTAGTAGGCTTCCTGCGTACAAACCATCACATTTTAAAGAAACTAAATCCTCCCAAGCGCCTCCGTTGTCGGTAGGGAAGAACTCATTGTGCTTTTTTGTGTAACAAACGCCACATTGTTTTTAGTTTTCGTAAATCATCTGATTTCATCCGGATTTTCTACGGTTTTAATTATATTTTTACACCGTTTTCATTAACGTTGTTGGTGTGAATTTTAAGTGTTTAAGTTATTTATGATGGATCACGAGGATGACTCCTCTTCTTCTGCTTCACGTGATCGTGAAAATTTTAGCGAGCGTGATTTACTCTCACGTATCAAGCGACTGGAAAAGAAGCTAAAAAGGAAAAAACGTCGGCGCAATAGACGTTCACGGTCTCGCTCCAGGTCTTTACATCACTCATCGAGACAACGTAGAACATCTTCGGTTGAGATGGGTTCACCTGTTGAATTTGAAAGCCGTCCTGCTTCTAGCCTTGATACTCCACAGATTGCTTCTGTTTCTAATATGGGTAAATGTAATTTTTTTTTACATTTTGTTTTAGATACTGTTTGCGGTGCTTACAAAATTTTACACTTAAGCTATAAGCTTCATGGAGCATTCAATTATGTTATAAACATAATTTCCAACAGCATAGTTGTTGGTTCCTTTTGTCTTGTCAAGGGCCGTTACTGGGTCCTGTTAGCTATAAGCTTTTAAATAAATTGTGCTATAAGCATAATTTCCAACGACATAGTTGTTGGTTATTCACATTAAAGTCGATATTTGGTCCTAATTGAGACACTTTTCAGGGTCTCTTAATGACATACTGCCATTGCCACAGCCTGAAATGACTGAGAAACAGGAATCTCTTTCGGAGAATATTCTTGCCTTATTAGGTGAAACATCTTCAGCTACAAATATTGGAACTGCGATTCATCCAGAAGTTGCAGTGAGGTGGAATCGAATTTTGAAGGATGGATTATCAGATGATGTTCGTAAAGGACTCCTTCAGAAATACCCACCATTAGCGAATGTGACTAATGTACCAAAATTGAATCTCGAGGTACGAGGTGCTCTTTCGGAAGCAGCAGTACAGAGAGATGAAAGACTTATTTTAAAACAGCAGCAAATTTCAAGTTGCATAGCAGCACTGGGTCCCCTCGTCTCTCATTTTTTGGAGGGAATTGACACAAACAACTCGCTTCTGGAAACAGCAAGTGATGCAGGTCGACTGCTAGCTGATCTGTTTCATTCAGAATCCATGTCGAGAAAAATTTTGTCGTCATCGGGACTGAACAATAAGCTACGTAATACGGTTCTCTCTGGCTCAAATGACGAGTGGTTGTTTGGTACCGATCTTGGAGAGCGGATTAAATCTGCAAAAGTATTGGAAAGGTCTTCCGCCGAACTAAAAACTAAGACTCCATCGGCCAAACCGTCTACCAGCTATAATTTAAACTCCAAACGTCCGTCCTTTTTTCCACCTCGTCGAATTCAGAAAGTTCCCTTCAAACAGGACGGACGACGACAAGCCTCACAGAAGGGACATCTTCCTCGGTCGTCAGGAAGGAATTACAGACGCCCTTACAAGAAAGACGATGCGAAGAAATATTGAATACGACAGTCAGCAATGTAAGTAAAAATACTACACATGCTGGTCGTTTAGCCCTTTTTGTTGCGGAGTGGTCTAAAATTACATCAGACCCTATTCTTTTGAGTTGGATCAGAGGGTATCGCATTCCATTTACTCAAAAGATACTTTCATGCCCTAGCCCTGCTGAAAAATCGTGGACATCAACAGAAATATTAGAAATCAATACAGCTTTGTCACATCTATTAGAAATTGGAGCAATTCGTAGGTGTTCTCCATGTAAACAACAATTTCTGTCTTCTATTTTCTTAGTACCTAAGCCAGACGGTTCAAAACGTCTTATTTTAAATTTAAAAAAGTTAAATAGTTTTATACGTGTGCAACATTTCAAAATGGAAGATAGAAATGCAGCTAGCAAGCTACTTCACTCTGGATTTTTCATGGCAACTTTAGATCTCAAAGAAGCTTATTTTCTTATACCCATATGTACTGCTCATAGAAAGTTTATTAGATTTCAATTTATGAAAGAATTATATGAATTTCAATGTATACCTTTTGGCTTGTGTACAGCCCCCTATGTATTTACTAAATTGTTAAAACCTATTGTCGCTTACCTGCGATTACTAGGTTTTTCATCGGTAGTTTATTTAGACGATTTTTTGTTAATTGGACGATCTAAAGAGCACTGTACAGAGAATGTTGTTAATACTGTATCCCTTTTAGAATCTCTGGGATTTGTGATAAATTTCGAAAAGAGTAAACTTCAACCCTCTCAGCAGTGTCGGTTTCTAGGTTTTAATTTTGATACTAATTCTTTAACGCTAAGCATTCCTGATGACAAAAGTTTTAAAATTATTTTATTTATTAAGGATGTACTAGCAAAAAAATATGTGTTCTGTTCGTAAGTTTGCACGTTTATTAGGAATGCTTGTGGCAATTTGCCCTGCAGTGCCGTATGGGTGGCTGTATACAAAAAGGTTGGAAAGGGAAAAATTTTTAGGTCTAAGAGGATCCAATAATTACAATCGTCGTTTGACGTTTTCAAATAATTGTCGAAACGATCTGATATGGTGGAAAGATCACATGTCTGAAGCTAGACAATCCCTTTTACCAAAGCGTTACTGTTTAGAAATTTTTAGCGATGCCAGTAATTCAGGTTAGGGTGCAACTTGTAATAAAGAGAAAACCTATGGGTTTTGGACACTGAAAGAACGGTCATATCATATTAATCATTTAGAATTGCTAGCAGCATATTTTGCTTTAAAATGCTTTGCTAGTGACAAATCAAATTGCAGTGTCTTATTAAGAATAGATAATACTACAGCAATCTCCTATATTAATCGTATGGGAGGAGTCCAATACCCTAGGCTCTCTGATATTGCTCGTGAAATCTGGCAGTGGTGCGAATCGCGAAAAATATTTATTTTTGCATCTTACATACCATCTTCTGAAAATATTGAAGCAGATAGAGAATCACGTCATGTGGTCCCTGAAACAGAATGGGAACTAGGTAGTTCTGCATTTGATCAACTTGTAAAAATGTTTGGTTACCCAGACATTGATCTATTTGCAAATAGAATTAACTCAAAATGTAAAACTTTTGTTTCATGGCATAGAGATCCCGATGCCCTTACTGTTGACGCGTTTACAATCTCTTGGTCAAATTTAAAATTTTATGCCTTCCCACCTTTTTCATTAATACTCAGAACTCTGCAAAAAATTATTGCAGACCGAGCTACAGGTATTATTATTGTTCCTCTGTGGAAGACACAGCCATGGTTCCCTACTTTTGTTAGCTTATTAGTTGAGAAACCCTTAGTGTTTTCTCCAGATAGTAATTTATTATGTTCTCCCTTTAGGTGTCTACATCCGCTTGCAAAGACGCTTTCCCTGGTGGCAGGACGTATATCAGGAACACACTCCTCAAGAGAGGAATCCCAATACAAGCTGTAGACGTCATGCTATCATCGGTTACAACTTCTACTATGCGACAGTATTCTACAGGATTGAAACGCTGGTGGTGTTTCTGCGCATCAAGAAACATGGATAATACTGTGCGTGATTTTTCACGCGTATTACTATTTTTATCAGAAGAATTTCAAAGAGGGGCCTCTTATGGAACTCTTAACTCCTACCGATCAGCGCTAGCATTTCTTCTCTCTCCAGCAGTTGCTGTTGACCCAGATATTAAAAGGTTTTTCAAAGGCATCCAATTGTTAAGACCTACTATGCCTCGCTATGAAGCTTCTTGGGACCCTCAAGTGGTGTTAAAGTATTTGTCTAGCCTTGACTCAAATAATATTCCATTGCCTATATTATCTCAAAAGTTAACTACTTTAATAGCCTTAGCCACGGCACAGAGACTGCAAACCTTATCTGTGATTGATGTCCGAAATATAATAGAGCTTCCTAGTGGCATAGAAATAAATATTCCAGACCGACTAAAAACATCTCGACACTCTACTTTCCAACCAATTTTGTTTTTTCCACACTTTAGAGATAACCCTCAAATCTGTGTAGTACGTAATATTAAAATTTATTTAGAAAAAACGACGTTGCTGAGAGGCTCTTCTAATCATCGCCTTTTATTAACATTAAAAAGACCTTTTCGAGCCGCAACCGCTCAGACCTTGAGTAGGTGGATAAAATGCATTTTACAAAAAAGTGGAATTGAAACTACAGTGTTTACGGCCCACTCTACTCGTCATGCGAGTACGTCAGCAGCAGCACGGAAGGGAGTGCCTTTAGACGTTATTCATAAAACGGCGGGATGGTCTACCACGTCAGCAGTGTTTGCCAAACACTACAATAGACCACTTATTAATAGGAGTGCGTTTGCAACTGCGGTTTTATCGTGATATACGATAGTTTATATAGTAATTTAGTTTAGTTATTTTAATAGTTAGTTGTCAGGTTAATGTAATAAATTCATTAATCAACAATGAGTTTGTGTGTGTCGCTCAAGCTTTAAACATCTACATGTCTTAGATCATAGAGGGCGGAGCGCGAATATAATTATATGATCAAACGAACTTACCTGTTGTGAAGTTCGATCATAATTATATGAAGCGCTCCGCCTGAGATGATCTAACCCTCCCAACCCAGAATGTTAACATTGACTTATACCCAGATCATCTCTGAGCGACACCTAGCTTTAAATAAATGAGTTCTTCCCTACCGACAACGGAGGCGCTTGGGAGGATTTAGTTTCTTTAAAATGTGATGGTTTGTACGCAGGAAGCCTACTACATGTCTTAGATCATCTCAGGCGGAGCGCTTCATATAATTATGATCGAACTTCACAACAGGTAAGTTCGTTTGATCATATAATAATAACGATTATCATAGATGTGTTAATGCCAAAAACATTGCATTCGTAGGTAATTCGAAGTTTTAAGAGTAGCTAATTAGTTGTAAGTGCAAATTAATGCGCACCATTGGAAGTGCAGTAGATACGCGTTTTTATTCATTTTGCTTTACGAGAAGTTCCTAGAGCTAAAATTAATAATTTCCATTGAGTGTAAAATGCCTATTATTTGCGTTTTATGTTTATTTAAGTGTAGGTACGCCTCACCTACACGATTAATTAGGATGTCATAAAGGTTTTTGGTATAAAATTTTATAATCGACCAATTTCAACGCATAATCAAACAAATAATTAGGAATTATGATTTGCATTCGAATGCATAAGAAACTGGCCTTTGCATTTAATATTTTTGTTATTTGCTAGGGTAAATGGGCCAGTTCACTTGTCAATTAAAATAAGAAATACAATGTATACAAATCTTTATTTTCCTCTATCAATAAGTACGTCAAGTACGAGGTACATTTAGGTTCATTTAAGCGAGGCGTCGTAATTCATAATTCTTGCTTATTAGCTACACACTTAATTTTTTAGGCATTCTCCTGTATTGGACTTCTTGGCTTTAGTTGTATTTTATTCAATTTTCGCTGTACATCTAGCACTTCTAAATTCCACTTCAACTTTTTAATTTTATTTAGTAAATCGTCTATTCCCTGCTCACTTTCGCAGTTATCCTATTTACTTTTGACATGCTTACTGGTACCTATTCTTTATGAATATGACTTCTACGGTGTTCTGCTAAACCCTTTATACGCACCATTACCCAACAAATAAACCACGATCGAGTTACAACCTTCAATGAGCATAGTTCAGAACCACTTTAGTTTTCACAATCGACCTGTTACCTAGAACGCAATGATCACAACTACTCAAGGTTCCGCTTGACCCAAGTTCAGAACCATTTGACCTTGACGTTAACTCATAACCACTTTAGTTCAGGCAAGAACGTTTGACCTTTCAGTGACATTGATTTTTTAGCAGAGTTTCAAACCCACGTCCACGTTGCACCTTCAGTGACATTGATTTAGCAGATTTTCAAACACACGTCTACGTTTGACCTTCCAGTGACATTGATTTTGAATCGGCTATACTATACTACTAATTAGAAGAAGCGTCACATAAAATTGCAGTTGCAGATCACCGTCACACCGCGTGGTGTTTGTTTTGGTTTTTTAAGTGCATATGTTGTTGTTTTCATACTCTCAGTGCTCACAAGGGATTAGTGCCAGTGTGGTGATTTATCGATCTGCATGTTCACTATACAGTAAGTAAATATTTTTTATGATAAATTCAACTTCAAAAGTAGAAAATTTGACAGAAGACATCAAATTAAATCCGTGTACAATGATTTTTTAGGTTTTTAGGATCATCTCAGGGAATTGGTCTTAAGAGTACCAAAAGACAAGCACCTCTTGACAGATTCTGATCTCAAAAGTGAAGACAACATGAATTTTGCATCCGCAGAAAAAATGTGCAGTTTTAAAGTAATTGGACAACTGAAAAGGGAAATTCCACAAAGTGAGGGTAGTGTAGCAAGCTTATGCACAATTCCAACACTCAGTTGCATACCAGACTATCGGATCTGGTATGTATTTTTTACTAGAATCTGGAGAGCCTGGATTAAAGGAAAAAAAGAATATAAAATAACAGACAACTTTTTGTCCAGTAATTGTTACCTATGCATCGAGATGAACGCTCAGGCTTTGATTATACTAATACTGAATCTTAAAAGCGGCAAGTTAAAACCAGAGATGTTCAGTATCACTATTTTTGGTAGCCAAGCATGTGAATCCTTATTTCGGGCTGCAAGGTCCATGACCTCTACGTACTCAACAATAATCAATGTTAGTATAAAGGATATGCTAAACAGAATTGACAGAATTAAGACAACAGTTGATACTATAAACGATCTGAGGTGGACGTTTACATTTCCAAGGGAAGACAAAAAATTGAAAAACAGACTGATGAAAGAAAATTTACCACATGAGGAAGAAATTAGCAATTTGGATATCAAAGCTACTGTTGAAGAAGCTCTACAAAATGTCATAGAGGACATAACATTTTTTGGAATCACGATGGAAGACGATTGGAAATATATGCAGGTGCCCTTAATAAGACGGAAAGAAAATACCGAAGTTACACAGGAGGACGAAAATATCGACCAAGACGACATTGGAGTTGACGAAAACCCAGAAAAAAATGAAATTGACCAAGATGTGTCAAAAACAGACAATCTTAGTTATGATGACGATATAGTTATGGAGTTAATTTCGAATGACATTTCTAATGAAGATCCAGAATGTGATACTTTGGAAACGAATTGTATTAGTTTAAAAGACTTTTCTGAAAAAGTACATATAATATATAATAGTGTATCAGAAATATCGCCGTATATAAAAATCACCGTCGGTTCTTCGATTATTAAAGTCATCGTACTGCTGGCTTTTAGATCAGTCTAACGACGGAGTGAGTACTGACCGCTTAAAAAGATTTATAGGCAGTACAATGAGAACACCTTCCAAACATTCCCAACGAATGTTGACTCTGAAAAAGCCTATAAACAGAAGCTACCTATGGATCAAGCTGGTGACACAAGCAAGCGTTTTCAAATGTGATGCAGTGTAAATCGAAAAGATTGCATTACTTTGTGAAATTGGCAAAAGGGACATTTTCATATTGCGATATTGCTAAAAAAATGTCGTGTGGCCGAACAAAAAGTACTGCCATCTGCGAAAATGTACTTGCACCGCTTTCGCTACAAGAAGTAATAACAGAGCTGGACAATGGTTATTTTTTGATTGCTAGTGATGCCTCAAACAAAGGCAATCGGAAAATGTTTCCTTTGTGCGTTCGATATGCGTTTCCATAAAGGATAATTCCGATTTATTAAGGGCAGCTAGATCGAATCAAAAATATAAAAGGAAATTTGTAAAATAGTTCTGCAGTTATTAAAAAAAAATTAAATAAAATGTGTGTACAATCTGAAACTTATTAGGTTAGGTACCCATTTTTCCCAACAAGTCTGTATGTCGAATATCAACGGGTAGTGTTTAAAATATTGAAATGCTGCATTTAATGGTCTAGTCTATACATTGTTGTGCCGTCTGAGAAAGACGTAAATGAGTGTAAAATCACGTATAAAACTACTAAAATTTCCCGGGGGAGGTCCCCCCCTTCTCCTGGCGAGTATTCTAGCAGCGCCCCCCCCTCCCCCGTGAAACACACCGGGACCACCGAGTTACATAACATTCATAGTGAATCATACAAAACCTTTTTATATGTATCTCCTACCATCGATCGATTATGTTCGGGATTTCGGAAATCAAAAAGTAGCATCCCTATTTGGAGCAGAGATTGAAATTATTCAGGGATTTAGCTGTGTCCTGGGAAAATTGTAATGAGAGAGCTAGCTAGGTTTAAGGTGTTGTGTGTATCGTTCATTTTGACTGGGCTATTGCACACAGCGATATGGACATACTATTTTCACCAAAAAATATCATTAGGAATGATAAATCAATTGAAACAATTACTCAAAGAATAGTACCATTTGTATTTCTGCCTACGATCTCAATTGAAAAACATAATTTTTGTCGTAGTATTGGCACACAGTTCGCAAAATAGGACCGTTAATTGGTTTAACGACAAGCATGGGAATCTTAAGTTATAAATTAATGTGCAGACTAAAATATATAATTGATTTCTCTAGCTGATTTGTTAATTATAGTGTAGCGTGACAAAAAATTGAGTACAAGAAAAAGTTCTTTCACTGCACACTATATTAAACAAGCTTTCCATTAAGTTCAACTACAGGACTAATAACGAGCACCTTAATCAGGCAGAAAAATTTGCACGATAACGAGCATGAAAGAAATTAGTGTAATCTCGCATAGAATCAATATAAGCAACAGGTAAGGAATGTACAAAACATTTTCTACCTGTTGCACACTCCCTATTCAAACGTATTTCGTGTCACACGCAATTACAAATAGGAAAACTACTAAATGTTTCACGTATTTAACTTTTGACATTCGTTCATTATTCGTGTTTATCAATGACCGAAATACGTGACTTATTATAGCGCTTCCCTATAATATCAGGTTATTGATTTTATTTAATTAATTTATAGAGCATTACAAAAATGTCAACTTGTGCTTACCTTTGGATACCTTAACGTTCTTATAGTTGGATATAAGGCTTTGTTATTTTTACTGTCATACCACGGATAATTGTACTCTCCAACATTTGTATCGTTGAAAGATAGGTATAACAAATATTGTCCATCCGCAGAAAACCACATGGTGTGGTCAGTTTTGAGTATTTCAGATTCATATATCCAATCCGGTACTCCGTTGAATATTAAATTTGGTTGTCCAGACGTAGTTATTCTGCAAACTAAGTCCTTGTGTATTTTAGGTTTGTAATAAATGTCGTTATCGTGTATAAATGCGATACTGACGCCGTCGGGCGACCATGTTACATATTGAAGATGGGGAGCGTTTTCGTCAAGCTCCACTGGCGATAGTGGTTTTCTAAACCTAAAAACAGAAATGAGCGATATTCATTTTGTCTATTTCGATAACGTACCGGGTTGATATTTCGTAAACGTAGTACCTTGCTAACTTCGAGTATTTGTAGATATACTTTAGATCACTTATGAGAAGAACGTATTTTAAGTCACTTGATATTTTAAAATCGACCGCGTCATACTGCCTCTGCAACAAAAATGCCACATAAGAAGAGGTAATTATGCACATCGTCAAATTATGATTCGACGGAGCGTCATGACGCCTGTATTAAAAAATAACCAGAGCGTTTTATCCACTAAAACTTTTCCGCACCCATGGATGACTGGATGCTGTGCCCACAATTAACGAACGAACAGCTTAGTATTAAACATATGTCATTTGTAAATAGTCTCTTCCAAGCCGCCGTTTTCGAGAATTGACATTTGAAGTTTTAACACCGCTGACGGATGCGTCTCGTCGACATCTATCATTTTCGCTTTGTGAGTACTCTCTTCTGACAATCCGTTTTGTGAAATATTTGCATTTGAAGTTTTCAGTCCTCCAACGGATGCGCTTTCTCGACATCTATCGCTTTCGCTTTCAAAGTAACCTTTTTCATAACGCACCCGACTATTGACATGTTTGTCGCTAGGAATCGACTTGCTTTTAATCGCTCCACAAATAAGAAAGATGATTCACTAAATTGTCTTTTCCCAAAAAGTTCGCATGAAATTTAACTTTTGTACATCAAGGCAATGTGTTCAGCAGTTCCCACGATGAAATTGATGCATAAATAGAATTTACTCTACAAACTTAACCAAAAAGGGAGTATGACAGCAATACTAGAAAATCTAGTTCGTGTGCATCGAGCCAATTTGTTTTGCCGTTTTCCGGATGAAATTGGTGAATAATTGGAAATTTTGCTCCAAGTTTAAGCATCATCATGAAGTGTTTAGAAAAGACATTTCTTGCTGCAATAACCGGAGCCGTATATCTACCACAGAGATGTCAAGGAGCTTTGTACAACTTTTCATTGCCGAGATTTCGTCCCTCATACGGAGGGGCGGACGTAATAGCGCAGTTTATTTTTTGAAAAATGCCCTTCAGACACGACATAATAAAAAGAAAATCCGCACAGGAGTAAAGTCAAAGCATTCACTCAAATTACTTAATACAGTTACTTACGAATGTGGAATTTGTCATTAAAATTTTTGTTGTCAAGTTATCCGCATTGTAAAGTGTGATTCCACCATACGAGTCCCGGTAAACGAATTCGGAATCTGAAACAAACGAAACAAAAATTAGGAGTCATTCAAAGTGATTCCATTTGAAAAATCAACCGAAGTTACTTAGTCATGGTACAATGAAAAAAACCATTGAAACATTTACTTGGTTTCAGTTGGGTTTCTAACAGTCGTCTAAAATAACTTGAGTAATGTAATGTATCTGGATCAACTTTCAGGAATAAATCAACCCAGTTCTGCAATTGGCGCATTAAAATAAATTTGAAAGGGAATATTTCCGAGAATGTCATGTTGACATTTTTCTTTGGAAAGGTATGAGTGATTAGAATGTGATTAGTATGTTTCGGGCATTCTGTCGGCTACTCCGAAATAGGTTTTCCTAATTTGTAAGGTAAATACCAAAGTAGTATAGAACAACTTAAGACTTTCTGCAGGGGCACCTCTAAAAAGCATTATGCGGGTCACTCTGTTATTGGGCACAAACCTGTCGAGGACCCAGAAGAAGAGAGGGACAATACATAAATAAGATAAAGAAAAATGCCGATTTAGGCCCATTTCACAAAGGACCGATGATCAGGCGAATTTAAATTGTTTTTCAAGAAAGAGTATCATATCAGTCGGTAAACATGTATTTGAGAAGAAACGCACTATATCGAAACCGCTGATACGCATACGCTACGAGCAGAATAGATGCCCGTGATAATTCATTGCTCGACCGTACGTGTTATTGGTCCTAGGCTCGTGTCACAAAGGATCGTTTTAATTTTTGGATATTCTTATCCGAATATAATGTGTTGTTTGCAACGCCATCGTTGCCTCCATGGCATAGCCGAATTTTATAAAAGTAAAGCGGTGGTTTACAGGGGATCTCTTGCCTTTTGCATCTTCACAAGTTACATTTGTAAATACCAAAATGTTGAACTTTTCCGTAAATTTATTTTGCGTTCATACCGTTTAATTTTTGCTTTTAAATTAAGTTTACCGCACTATATCTACAGCTTTTCATTTTTCTTGCACAGTAATGTTTACCGCTGGGTTTAATTACAAGATAAGCGTTTTGTTACTTTTTTCATTAATTATAAGAGGGTATATTGTTTCGCTTTCCTGCATTTGCTTTCCCGTAGATACCGCTACCGAATCCGATTATTTGGTGTGCGCTTTAATTTTGCTTTAGCATTCGCCAATAGCCGACCTCCGCTTGCTCTTTAGGGTTCCTGAAGCCGCCATTTATTTAAGTTCACCGACTGCGTGCGAACTGCCGAAGTTCGTCGCATCGCGTGCTGCCAACTGTAATGAATTTATATGGGCAGAGTCGTCCTTAGGGTGGGGCGAGTGGAGCGGCCGCGATATAATAATGTACAGATATACGTTCCTAAAATATCTATTTGATTACCCGTCCAATATGTTAAATTAAAAAACCTACGAACTAGATTCTCATTAGTACGAAATAGTCATCAGTCTCGAACAAAATATTGCAAATGCAAAATATCGTTTGATAGCGGCGGTGGTGTAATGGAGCCTCGCGCCTGCCTATAAGTGAAGTGAGCCATGCTTGCATGATCTCCTCCCCTTCCTTTTGCCGAGTTGCAGTCAGTATCAATGCACGATGCACCCGACCCATGATACTACAACTTAACAAGATATGATCACGCGCACGATCTGTTCTGTCTCCGTTCCTCCGCTGACGTCAACGCGTGACAAACTTTGAGTGCGCTTATTAGTACAATGCTTGAATGTTCGCATTTCATTTGGTTTATTTCGATTTAATTTATGAAATTTTGTGATTGCATTTTACTGTACGATTTATTTTAAATACATTCTACAATGGTCTACTGTGCAGTTGTGAGTTGTACCAATAATAATAACAAAAAAAATAAAACTTTTCGTCGAGCTTCCGATATTTTAGTTTTCCAAATGATAATGAAATTTGCAAATTATGGGTGCAAAACTGTTATCAAAAGCAGGATTTTAATATTAAGAATGCTAGGATATGTTCGAATCATGTTTCGGATGACGATTATTGTATCAAAGAGAAACTTTTGCAACTGCCCAGAAATAAGTGGAAGAAGATGCTGTACCTTCAATTAATCTGGCAAAATCTGCTAAACTTAAAACATCTGAGCAGATAGCCCGAGATGAAAGAACGAAACAAAGGGATTTAATTAAAAATATACTTACATCATGAAAACGCAAAATACAACTCTGACAAAAATGGAAAGGTCCTGTATTTTACTGTTTGATGAAATGAAAATACAGAGTATTTATGATTATGACAAAAAAATGACACTATTGTGGCTCCAACTAAATATGTACAAGTGATAATGGCTCGGGGGATATGTGCAAACTGGAAGCAACCAATATTCTATGATTATGGTCGCAAAATGACAAAAAATTTAATTTTTAAAATAATTACAAAACTGGAGAATATTGGCTATTCTGTATATGCCCTTAATTATGACTTGGGTGGAAGCAACAGGGGACTTTGGAATTCTCTCAATATCTCTGAAGAAAATACTAGCTTTGAGAATCCAGTCAGCCACAAAGCAGTTCATGTATTCGCAGACACACCACACATGATAAACTTTTAAGGAATCATTTCCTTGATAGTGGCTACTTTTTGAATGGAAAAACAATTAATTCTAAACCAATTGTGGATTTATTGCAGAACACCCAAAATTTAGATTTAAATATCGCTCATAAGCTTAGTGCAGATTTATTGACTGTAAAAGGTAAGGTTGAGTAGAGAATCTTACAAAATATTCGAAGGTACATATATTTACGTTTTAGGTGCGCAACGGCAGAAAGTTAAAAACGCTACAAACTATTTTCCCATACAATTTCAAACGCCATTTCTAGATTGGGTATGCTTGGTATTTACGAAACAGAAAACAACTGGTCTGAGTGCTCCGAGTTTTTAAAAACTGTGAATGACTGGTTTGACGTGTTTAACAGTCAAGTCCCATATCTAGATTCAAGGGATCGAGTTAAAGGTTTGAGAAATTGTCGTATGCTTAACTAATACTGTGTGGCGCTACTGACTTGGCTTTCGGCGCCACTGGCTACTAGCGATTGCCGCGCCATCTACGACAGTATAAAGACGAACCGCGCACAACAAACGAGGTCTTATTTCCTCCGGTTCGATTCTGAATACTGTGTAAGTAAACTTTCTAAACTACATTACTGGTGTTTTCTTTATCCTTCGGATTCGTGCAATAAAATGTAGTGCGATAGACAGATAAATGGACATATGCACTACAACTGAAATAAATATTGGTATCCACTCTGGTGTATGAATCCAAAGGCATTTTACATGCCCTGCCCTAGCCATAGCCTTAACCTCTTAATTTATGACGCTGCAACATGTTTCCCTAAAGCTATGACGTTTTTTTGGTGTTGTCCAGAGAATTTATCCACTTTTTTCCGCGTCAACAATGCGGTGGGAAATTTTAGTGAAACATGTACCGAATCTGACTGTAAAAAGGTCCTGTGATACTCGATGGAACAGTAAATTGGAAAGCGTAAAAGCACTTCGATATCAAATTAAGGAAGTTTATACTGCATTAGTTGAACTAGTTGAGGTCACTGAGGATCAAAAAGCCAATAGTGAAGCACGATCAGTTATGAATGAAATAAGTAGCCATGACTTCTTACTAGCCCTATCTATATGGTATGATGTCCTGTTTGCAGTAAACAGTGTTAGCAAAAGTTTACAGGCTCAAAAAATGCACCTTGGAATTGCGTCGCAATTACTTCAATGGCTAGTTCAGTTTTTTCAGAAATTTAGAGTTGAAGGGTTTGTGGCGGCAACATTGGTAACAAGAGAACTTAGTGAAACTCTGGGTGTAGCCAAAATTCAAGGAAGTAAGGCAGAGAAAGAAAAGAAGAATGTTTGAGTACGAGGGAGAAGATGAGCCTACAATGTTAGAATCTGTTTTTTTTTATAAACCAACAAGAAGTATAATTTTGCACAAATTCCCGGACCCCCCTCTTCCCCGGTAATCATTGTTAAAAAAGGCCCCGCAAAAATGTTTTGCTCCAGGCCTCGCATTTACTAAGGACGGCTCTGTATATGGGAATATATTATAGTTAACTTATCAGCAGGACCATTATCACATGGTTATTCACATTTTAGTGATGGTTTATTTATAATGAAAAAGAAAATCAGCTCTCCACTGATAAAATCGCAAAATATGAGTGACTATATAGGTAAATAATTTCGGATTCTTTTATCTTCTCTTGGAAATGCCATAATGTGGCTATCGAATTGTGAAGTGAAGTGGTGGATAATTGGTAGCTGGCGTGATTGGTAGTATTGTTGAAAATCCTAAAGAAGGGCGATTCTTTTATAGTAGAAGTGGTGTTCTCTTGAAAACTGGAAACGACGTAAAAACGATGCTGCTGCTACTGCTAACTGCGAGTTTCCGCGACTGTAAAGCCTGTATTAGACGGTAACTTTTTTTACAGCAGATTTGTTACAAAAAATTATTCACAAAAATCTGTTTACAATAAAAAGGAAGCAAATTGCCGACCTGTATTACATGAAATTATTTCTGTGAACAAAAATATTACGTGAGACGGCGCAGTAACGATTTTCAGGTAGTTGGTATGAATAAAAACACTACAAAATCATGTAGTTACTTTTGCTTCTCAAAGTTTGAAGTGTGAGATTGTACATAACCTATAGGTATTAATTGTTTTAAATTCAACAATTTATTATGAATTTTGCCAATGCCAAAAAAATAGGAGTGTTATCGGCTGCAGCTGGAGTAATATGCGTTTTACTAATGAAGCAGCTGAAACAAAAAACTAAAAAAAAAGAAGAATATGGTCTGAAAAGTGGCTTTTAAAGCGGCAAGATGGAAGAGGTGTTCTACATATGTTAGAACAAGAATTGCGAACGAAGGATGCAGAATCTTATCGCCAATTTATTAGAATGTGTGGACAACATTTTGATGAACTTCTTGAATGTATACGAAGTGATATTGTGAAACAAACCACTAACATGAGAGAGAGTATTTCTGCTGAAGCAAGGTTTGAGATATAAAAAAGTTAATTCAAATTTAATTGAGTTTTACAGGTTAGCATTAACTCTAAGATTCCTTGCAACAGGAGAAACTTATCGATCTCTAATGTTTGCCACCCGAATACATGAAAGCACCATTAGCTTGATAATTCCTGACGTTTGTAATGCAATCTGTGAAAAATTAAAATCTGTATATTTACAGGTACATCATTACTATGTCCATATTTGTGTACTACTGATTTTGCTTTAGATGCCAACTACAGAATTGGAGTGGAGAGTTATTGCCTCCGAGTTTCAAAAACATTGGAATTTTCCATTATGTCTAGGTGCCATTGACGGAAAACATATAAATTTTAGGCCTCCACGAAGTTCAGGATCATACTACTTTAACTATAAAGGGGATCACAGTATTGTGCTTCTTGCAGTTGCAGATGCATCTTACAAATTTCTGTACGTTGATATTGGTGTCAATGGTAGAGTAAGCGATGGAGGAGTTTATAGAGAATCCTCCTTAAAATGGGCAATAGATCATAATACATTAAACTTTCCTCCCCATGAATGCTTACCTGGTCAAAATACACAATTGCCTTATACATTTGTAGCTGATGATGCATTCCCTCTGTCAACGAGAATCATGAAACCGTATCACAGTCGTGGATTGACAAATGAGCGAAGAATATTTAATTACCGATTGTCACGGGCAAGACGAGTAATTGAAAATTCGTTTGGCATCTTGGCCAATAGGTTCAGGATTTTATTAAATACAATAAATTTGAATCCTGATAAAGTTGAACTAATTACCTTAACTTGTTGTATTTTACACAACTTTTTATTAGAAAAAAATCCGAGATATTTAGAACCATCTGAAAATACCGAGGATAATATAGGTAAATTGAAAAAGTTGACAGATATGCAAGGTGGCAATAGAGCTGCCAGTGAAGCTTTAGAAGCACGAAATTTATTTTCAAGATTTTTTGTTACGAATGGGGCAGTACCATGGCAGAACGATGTTTTGTAATGACAGTGGTTATTTTGAAATTAATATAAACCAAAAATAGTATTGTTTCTTTCATTTAACACTTGTTTACATATTTACAAATCATTCGGCTTCTTCAATTTCGGCATTAAAAATCAGGGTCTCAATGTGATGCTGTAGTTTCAATTTCCTTTTTCTGCTTTGAATTGCACCGATCCGTGAACATATATATTTTGCGTATACTTCATCGGGATCTTCTGTGGAAGTCCCAAGTACCGATGACACTGCGGTAGTTAACTTATCTAATGCTTTCGAAGCTTTTTCGGTAACGTCGACATTATGATTTCTGTCGTCTTTTTTGTATTTTTTCCGAGCAGATCTACAAGTTGCAGTTTCTCCCACATATACATTATCATCGTTGGGAACTGGACTACCGCTTCGTATAAGGTGTAATTCACCTTGAGGTTGCAACTCATATTCGCCCTCTAACAGACTAGTTGGAGAATCAGTTAAATAGTTTTCGCTTTCTTCTGTAGCGTACGATGAAACAGACTTTCTTATATTTAAATGTTCGTTTAGAAATACCAGCTTTTCGTAATACCACAGCGATGGTATGTAGATCTGAAATGATACCTAATTTATATTTTCTGTACATAACTAACAGTTTTAACTCACGTCTTCTGACCCAGCCCCACTACGAGAGCTTGCAATGGATTTCCTTCGTTCACTGGCATATGTATTTCTAATACCATTCCATTTCTTCTGGATTTCATGTATGGAAGTATTTGGACGTATTTGATTCATTTTTTCGCAAATTTGTTGTAACGCAGCATTTCTTCGGTTTTTATTATGATAATCGCGATGTTGAACAAAGTATAAACACTCGTGCTGTTGGTATTGCTCAATCAGCAATGAAACCTGATCATTTGACCACGACATCGCGACATAAAAGAGTTCTTGGCGGTTGATACAATGTCAAAATGTGTTTTGTAAAATATTTACATATAGGTTATGAGCAAGGTCGATATCCACTGAAGTTAGTTCTTGAACAGCTGACTGTTTATTAAAGCAATACGCATGCTCACATCTGAAATATTACCAAAATTTGTATGGGAATAGAACAAGTTCTATTTTTCATCACATTTTGTATACATTTTGATATGAAAGCTATTAATTTCTGTTTTAGACGGTCATAATTCATTTGTTTATAAATTTGGTAACAAATATATTGTAAGAAATGTTACCGTCTAATACAGGCTTAAAGCTATTTATTGGGTGAAAATGCGGTGCCTGCAGTTATTGTGTATTTTCGTAACATATGGCACCACAGAAGTGTGATCTTATAATCATGATTGCTAAAATCGTGAACAAACTGAACATAAAAGTTTTATGATCACGAATACCTAACCTATAAATGCAAGGATATTTTCGCTCAAATGTTAGGTTAGTCAATATTTGTAACTGAAGAGGAGCATAATGGTGCAAGTACTTCCACTTGTATTTAAATTATTTTCATAATCCAAACAAAAAATACGTAATTCGAATGCAAATTAATGTGTACTACGTAAACTTAACCATACTTTGATTTAAATTCGCGCGTTCTTTCGTAAAACGTGATCCTACGAATCACGATCTTGGCATCGATCGCGAAGTAGCCGAAAGAAAGCGCCTATCGAATAATAATTTATGATTTGGCAACGCTGAATTTGAAAGGTGTTTGAAAGTAGTAATTCATTCACGTAATTCAAAGGTGTTTTTTTAAATATTTTTGGTAAGTAATTACCTTTTTCTTCCATTTAAAAAAGAAACGTAAGTATTTCACGGAAGTTAAGAAAAGGGCTAACAACTTCCACTGAGCATTAGATTTTGTATGATTACTGAATTACCATTTGAAGGATGACAAAGTTTGTACCTAATGTTCCAAGATCAGAGGTTACCTACTTTTTAACTTTAATATTATGTTATACGTCGCGTCGTCTAGTGAAAAAACAGTCGCAGGTAGCCACCCACTTGCGCCTCTAACTCGATTCCTTTACTCAATGTTACAAGTATGCATATTATGTACCTACGTAGTAGACGAGACACTAAATAAACCTACTCTTATTCAACAAATTCTGTTACTCAGAAAGTAATGTTTGGTTGCCTTGTATTGTATTATGTTTAATACCAAAATAGATTTTTAACACACTTATTTATAACATTCTTTGTTGTTAGATATGGATGGAGATGATCACACGTTACTCATTAAAATCGAACCAAAACAAGAAGAAGAAATCCATTCCTTTCTTCAGGGACACACTGCAGTAAGCAACGAAGTTTTGGTGACAATAAAGGACGAAATTACCAATCTTGCACAGTGTTCTAAATCTCTTTATAATGAAGAACTACAGCAACACACCGACTTTCAACATCACGATTTAACGCAGTGCGAAACAGTGTCTGAAGATTTTAAATGTACTGATTATGAGACACAGAACAAAACAAGCACGAAAACAAGTTATAAAAGCAACATTAAGCAACATTTTTTAAAAGATAAAGTTTGTAAGGGTTTTAAATGTGCTTATTGTGATTATGAGACAATTTATAAATGCGATGTTAAAAGGCACCTTTTAAAACATAAAATTTCGATAGATTTTAAATGTGCTGATTGTGATTATTGGACAGATCTTAAACACGTCTTCAAACGACATCTTTTAACACATAAAGTTTCGAAGGATTTTAAATGTGCTGATTGTGATTATCGGACAAATGATAAATCCAACTTGAAACAACATTTTTTAAAACATAAAGTTTTGAAGGAATTTAAATGTGTTGAATGTGATTATGCGACAAATGATAAACACGTCTTCAAACGACATCTTTTACAACATAAAGTTTTGAAGGATTTTAAATGTACTAATTGTGATTATGGAACAAATGATAAACACAACTTCAAAGAACATCTTTTAAGACACAAAGTTTTGAAGGATTTTAAATGTGCTGATTGTAATTATGGCACAAATGACAAACGCAACTTCAAACGACATCTTTTAAATCATAAAGTTTGGAAGGAATTTAAATGTGCTGAATGTGATTATGAGACAAATGATAAACACATCTTCAAACAACATCTTTTAATACATAAGGTTTCTAAAGATTATAAATGTGCTGATTGTGATTATGGGACAAATGATAAACGCAACTTCAAACGACATCTTTTAATACATAAAATTTCGAGGGATTTTAAATGTGCCGATTGTGACTATGGGACCAATGATAAACACGTCTTCAAACGACATCTTTTAATACATAAAGTTGCTAAAGATTTTAAATGTCCTAATTGTGATTATGGGACAAATGATAAACGCAGTTTCACACAACATCTTTTAAGATACAAAATTTCGATTGATTTTAAATGTGCTGATTGTGATTATGGGACAAATGATAGACGCAACTTCAAACGACATCTTTTAAAACACAAAGTTCCTAAAGATTTTAAATGTGCTGATTGCGATTATGGGACAAATGATAAATACAGTTTCAAAAAACATCTGTTAAGACACAAAGTTTCGAAAGATTTTAAATGTGCTGATTGTGATTATGGGACAAATGATAAACGCAACTTCAAACGACATCTTTTAAAACATAAAAGAGGCTAATGTTTTAAATGTATAATTATGATTATGACATAAATAATAGATTGGACTGAGCAACACCTTTGGCGACCTTTATTTTCAAATCACTGGTGCTTTTGAGCATACTAATTTGCAAGGCACAAATACGGACTGGGAGCCGTCAAGGATTAGACCTTTGTGGTGTGATGCAGATATTTGTGTTGTGGCATAGTTTTTTTTTAATTAATTACAAACGAAGATTTGTCATTTGCTTTTGCACAAATACATGATTTCTACAATAATTGTTAAAGTCGAATCTGAACAAGAGCATGAACTAAATGCACTCATTGAGTTTTTCTTACTAACGATGTCTCAGAAACAATAAAACAGGAATCAGATGAAATGATAAGTGGAAATTATTCTACTAACTTTTCTCATTTGGTAGATCAAAAAGTGCTTCAGGAAGGTGAATTTAAGGCGGCCAACTTTTAAAATAGCAATGCGGGCCAAAATCAGGTTTCAAGTCTCGTCTCTAACATCTGAAAAGACACAATTTCTCTAACTCATAGGTTCCACCCTGTATATACAACCTACGACGGTCCACATATTTTTGAGATCTGGCAACCACGCAATTTTTAGGAGGGGAAAGCTGTCTGCGCCATCTTAAGAGCACCAACGCGGATTACGTAATGCTGCATTTCTATTCGTCGTAAACTTGTATTTTAATGAAAATCTGTATCAAAATGACTATCATTTAAGTACAGGTGGCAAATGTTTAATATATCAATTAAAGTATAGGAATAGAAAAAAAAACCTTCTTGTATTTACGAAATTGTCGCAATCTTGAAACAATTTTATTTCAATTCGCATTGGTGGATATGGATGTATGTCAAATTTCAAGTTTATTATTCCATCGCTGGCTTAGTAAACGGATCTGGACATTGAAAATGCTGTGAAGAAACAGTAAAGGATTAGCATCGAAAATTAGTTTTTAGTCCCACAAAATGAAATTAAGAAAACGCATTTTTCTACCACTTCCAATAAAATTACAATATTGTTATGTAGTTATAATTTTATTTCGCTGTTATTCACGGTGTTACAAATAGGTTATACATGAATAAATATACAATCATTGTTTTACATTTTCAATTAAATTGTTAACAACAGTTACAGTCATGTATAACTTAACAATAATCGTTGATTAGTTTTTTTTGTAACATATAACTACAAGTCTCAAATACTCGGACATTTCCCACAGTGCAATCGAGTAAAGGAAGGAAAGTGATAAACGGGATAGACAATAGAAAATAATCGATTTTCATCCACCCCGCCATCTTGCCATAACTGGCCAATGAATTAGCGTACAAAAATTAATAAGAAAATGGAATGATTAGTGAAGCCATTTGGAGGTAGAAGATAGATAATGCCTATATAAATGAATAATTAAATCTAACGATAAATTTCTTCTCTTAAAATAATATAATACAAAAACGAGGTCCCTAATAATGTTTCCAAGAAACGGCTCTCTGTAGTTTTAAATTGCGCCTATGTACACGTCGTGCGCAATCATAAATATATGTCTTCTATAACTTTCTTTGGTATTTTGGACTATATTCCATAACCATTTCGCGAATTTTACAAAACAAGGAACATACAAACTACCTACTTACTAATAATTTGTTATTCTATTATATCTCATTAATCAGGTAAGTAGAAAAATAAAAAATAAACATCACCCAATATGTTTCATTTACCCTTGCAATCGTCGCAAATCACAAAATTTATTCCACAACGCGCGCGCTTTTCGTTTGTTTTTAGACTATGAAAATTTCGCCGTGATGTTGAAGAAGGAACTGCGTAAACATATTGATAGGACCTATCGCTGATAGGGACATCGTTACGTTCTCTGACCATACTAGGTTCGGTCCGAATACTACGGCTAAATTTTGGGCAGTCATTTTATTTAGATCGGCTCTCTCCATTACCCTGGACAGGAAGGTAATTATGTACTTTAGCACTTTGTAGTTGTCTTCCGGTAGTTTCTCCATGACGAGAATCGATACCTGACGCAATTGTTCATCTCGATTCCAGCCTGTAAATAAAGCAATTTTTTTAATCAACTGCACTGTACAGTTAGAAGTTGAATCTCCAATGAATCCGAACATGATTCAAGCACTCATAGTACATGGTTGCCAACTGTTACTGATCTGCCTGAAATAAAGTCAGAAAAATAAAAAGGAATTTCGACCTCCATTAGAAATTAGGACAGATCTAGCGCTAGATTTTGGCACAACTGATTAGTAAATATGACCCACACAAAAAATACAGAATTTCAGAGACTTAAAACATAAATGAGACTGTCACTCAAAATGACCCAATAACCAGATTAAACAAATTTAATTGCTTTATTTTCACCAACACCTTTTCAATTTTTTGTTTTACAAATAAACACTTGGCTTGCTCAAATTGCAAGAGACTCAAAATTTACTGGGTTCATAAACATGTGACAAAATTGTTTTAAAATAAACAAATCTCCCCCAAAACAAATGTTCATACAATACAACAGACAAAGGAGTTGCAGAAAAAGAATTGTAACACTTACTTTGAAATTGCATAACTTCATCATAGAGATCATAAGTTAATAACGGCTCTTTTAATTCTCTCAAGAGAGTTTTTAAAAGAACCGCAGCTTCGTGAGGATCTTCGAACGCTAGGGTCTCGCCTCGATTGGCGACATCTTTCAACTGCTTCACCTTCATTACACTAGCCGACCTCCTAAACAATCCCTCGGTTTCCAGCGCTATAAAAATCCTCTTTCATCACCGTCATCCGGCTAAGGCGCACTCACCATCAGGTTTATCCAAAAATTCGACGCACTGCCTAACGACGGGCGGTATCACGACCTTATAGTGTTGCTTAATAAACTGGAGAGTTACGCCGAACTGTTGGGTGGGATACTCGGGCCGCGAGTCGGCAACCGTAATGTTATTCGATCCTCCTAACACCCGATCGTGCCTACAAATGTATAATATTAGTTGTTTTTTATCGCGGAAACGCGCACTTACTCCTTAACCTGTTCTGGAATGGACAACTGCTCGAGTCGTATGTGCTCGCTAAGCTCCTTCAACGAGTTGATGTAGTTAATTTTACGGCCGAACTTAACGCTGATTACCGGCCGAAATACTTTCGATATGATTCTCAAGAAATTCGTCGGGTGAACCAGGTATAGCGCTTGCAGGTTTTTCTTATACTTGCGATCGAACGCTTTGTACGCCTGCCACAGCCACGCTATCGATGGTTTATTTTTACTCGTTAGTCCATAATGAAAGTATACTAAACTATAATCTTGCTCTACATATTTGTCTAATGTGTGAATTAAGTACCTGAAAATTTAATGCAAATGCAATTGTTTGCTTTGAAGCCACTATGTATGGAATATAGATTGCAGCATTCAGTTTTTATTTCAGAAAAACAAATGAAAAACGAAAAAAAAAGAAAAAAAATTTCTATCAAATGAGTCTAAAAAAATCAATTGTTTTTCGTTAGTAATTTGTCTTCTGAAATAAAAACAACTGAACGCTGTGTTACTATGGGAAATAAAATATCAAACAACTTTTATATAAAAATTTTTGTATGCAGTCTGACGACATTTACTGAGTCATATACTAAATTCCATACATAATGGGCACCCTGTATAAAGTTACATATTGTATATAGAGCGCAAGCACATTCAAACATATTGTTGTATTGTAATTATTATGATTATAGCTTTCATCATTAATGTTTGTGTTTTATTTGTTCTTCAGTAAACAAGAAAGCGGTTAAGTTGGGAAATCAAAAATTTTCAGTTTTTGAGCGTATTTTTTAAGAAACTGTTTCTTCTTGCAATTAAAAATGAGAAAAATCTCAAAAATATGTTTTCAATTATGTTTATTTTGACAACAACTAAAAAACAACTTTTTCGTTATTGTATTGTAATATAACTTGATTTTTTTAATCAAATTGCTAACATAGCGCTAACAGAAACATTGTACTTAGTTATTTTTCATCGTTTTGTTTTTCATAGCATACTGTCACCTTACACCGAAATAAAGACAGAATGCCAACTTCAAATCGAGTGCATTCCAAGAAATGGTATCTGTTGTCTTGGATGCGAATGGAAGTTTCACAGAAGTCTTGATGCTATAGTCTCAAGAATGCTGCACTTAATTGCTCCTGTAACCTTATAGTTTGAAGGTTCGCCACACGGCCGTCTTAAAATTTTTTATCTATAGAAGAATGTCAACATTTTGAGGGCCGTGCACAAAACGCTTTCAATCATCAATCAACTGTAATACAGATCAGTAATCATTTCTCATTTAGGTTATCAACCTAACCTAATTTTTTAAACAGAACACCCTGTATACTTTTTAATCACTTGAATCTTTTTTTAATATCATCTCTGGTGTTAAATTTTTGAAAAGAAAATATGCCATTTTTAAAGGTTTTTTTTCAAAACTTTCTCTATAATGATTGAACAATCTACTATTTTCAAAATAAGCTACGGGGTCAGGTAAAAAGGTTATCGAACCTAACCTATTTTCTTTAAATAGCACATCCTGTATATTTTAATCTAAAAAGATTACGTAAGATATAAGATTAAAGCAATTTAAGCTAAAAAATCAAAATTTGAAAATATTCGCTCGCTTAAGAGATACGGGGGAGATTGACCCTATACTTTACTAGTTAAAAGAGGCACAGAAAAATATTTATTACAAAATTTCTTTATGATTGTTGAATAATCTGCCGTTTTCAAAATACATAAGTTGTTTTTTTTTATTTTTATTTATTGTCCCTCTTGTTCTAGGCCCTCAACATGCTTACGCCCAATTACAGAGTGACCCGCATAATGCTTTTTAGAGGTGCCCTAACCACATTTTTTTAAATAGAAGACCCTGTATACTTAATTTAAAAAATAGCATATTAAATTTTCTTTTTAAAGCTAAAGAAGTTCAATATTCATTCAAACAGATTTTGAATTTTCTTTTTTTATTATTTTAATCTTTCGAACTTTTATTTAAATTTTTAAAAATCTTTTTTAATATTTTCGAATCCTTTCTTAATTTTTTTTGTCACTTGAATCTTTTCTGAACATCATCCCTGGTATGTTAAATTTTTGAAAATAGAATATGCTATTTTAGAGGGGTGCTTATTTCAAAACTTTCTTTATAATGATTTTGAATAATGTTTATTAGTTAACAGTAGGGATCGACCAATACCGATATTAATATTGGCATATCGGCTCAATTCAAAGAAGTTTTGCTTTTAGGGCAACAGCATTTGGTTTGATCTTTTTATTCAGTTGTAAAATGTTCATTGCTACATACACACGCGTGGGGTAAAATATTCATTGGTGATTATTGTGAAGGAAATCAAAGATTGCTATGAAGGAAACTTGGAAACCAAAAATAAACAAAGTCAGAGGATGCCGGGCAAAAAAATTGTAGAAGGTCCCAGGTCCCTACATAATAAACATGGGAAATATTTGACTGTGTTTCTCGCTAAACTAACTAAAACGAAATCTTCAAAATATTCCAATATTGCTACATCTGGCGAGCGTTCAAATTTTTTTTTTGATCATTAAATTTTAGCCAACGTGTGTAGCACAGTAGTGTGGAAACTCGACCGCGGTACTAGAGTCCCTGGGTCGAATCCGGATTTGCGCATGGGTATTTGTAAATGAATAGGGTCTTTGGCTAAAACCCGCCTATTTAAAAATAAAGACCAAACATAAAATTATAAATGGCTGATACGCCGGTATTTTATCGGTATCAACCAAAAATGCTGTATCGTGTCCCTAGTTGTTGAATAATCTCCCGTTTTCAAAATAAGTACACAGGATTCAGGTAAAAAGGTTATCAGAACTAACCAATTTTTTTTTAAAAGAACACCCTGTATACTTTGATTAATAAAATAGCATATAAAATTCTATTTTTAACGCTAAATACATTCAATATTCATTCAAAAAGGATCAAGGAAAGTTTGTTTTTGAATTTTCTTTTTGATTTTTTTAATCATTCGAACTTTAATTTTTTTTAATACTTTTTTATTTTTTGGAAACACTTGAACCTTTTCCCCTGGTGTAGTAAATTTGTGACAAGAGGATTTAATATGCTATTTTTCAGGTTAAAATATACAGGGTGTTCTATTTAAAAAAATGTCCAATAACTCTTCTATCTGACCCTGTACACTTACTTTGAAAACGGCAGATTATTCAACAATCTTTATAAAAAACTATTATAATAAACACCCCTATAAAAATAGCATTTTATATTCTTTTTTTTTTAATTTAACACACCGCCCGAATGATATTCAAAAAAGATTTAAATAATTAAAAAAAGGTCAATAATTTAAAAAATCAAAAAAAATTTTTTTTAATCTTTCCCGTAGACCTAGAGAAGTGAATGTAGGGCATTCTCTAGCTTGCTCTACACTGTAAATTAGAAAAAAATACTCTAACCCTACAAATAACCTAAAATGTCAAAAGATCCATGTCTTGTTAACAGTGACATTCCAACGCACAGTTTGCTTGATTATTTATGTTTCCAAATAAAATCACAATAATAAATGTACCAAAATTCACAGTACTTAGCGAATATGGACAAGATGCGTACCGTAAAAATCTTCCGTGGTCGATATCCTTAACCAAAGGCAACTTGCACGCATACACTACGATAACCTTCCGCCCCAACGCGTCGTCCCCCTTCACGTCGACGATACCGTGCTTCGCCACATCCAAAAACTTATCCGAAGTATCGCCCACCTCGGGATACGACGTGTAAATTAAACTATCTAAACCTTCCTCGTACGCCTCGGCCAATTGCTCCTCGAAATTCTCGTCGGTGAAATCGGACACAGGCGAACCCATTCCATTCGTTTCGATCTCTTGCATTAAATCGACCGTATTGGCAATGGCGTCGGGCGATTGGTGCAGTTCCGTATCGTCGAATTCTAGATTAGGCTCGTAATCATGGAAGTCTGAGAGGCTCGGGTATGGTTCTTCGGTTGTGTCCGCCAGACACCCACCTGAAAGTGTTTTCCAATCATTATGCTTTCGAGCAGTAGGTTTTACCTTGGAATGTCTTTATATTGGGACCCATTTTATTTGTATCCATTTTATTTAATTTTCTAAAATAAAGAAAATTAAGTCATGTCTTACAGCGAAAGTGATTAACACTTCGAAGCTTCCTTCACTTTTTAAATGCGTGAAAAAAGAATGTTAAGCAATTAATATAAAAATAATTAAAGTGAAACTTATGTAAATGTTTGTTTTTAGACATAAAATGTATTTAATTAATTTGTAATTAACGGGAAGATGTGTGTGATGACAGTTACAAACAGCTGACTTACAACCAGTGGCGCAACACCGATTACACCATTCTATGGTCACACACAATTAATTTCCGTTAATTAAGCCCGCTTGACATGGAGCAATAAAAATTGCAATTGCATGCAAGTTGCAAGAAAAATTGCGAAAGGCATGCGCAGTTCAAAGCCAGTTGATCAATTGCTGCAAGAGACTTGCATGCAATTTTTATAGGACCGGTGCTATTTTTCTTGCATGAATCGTGCAATTCTAGGGATAAATCTAGTTGTTTTTGTGGCACCAACCTAGTAAAATACAGCGGCGGCAACTGTGATGCTGAGAGACGCACTCATTACTTGTTTTTACTAATCTTATTTATTCTTGTAATTTTCATGTTTCTTCAAGCAATGAAAATTTAATTTTCATTTGAGGTTAACAACTTTGTTGACAAATCCATATGTTTCTTCTGTTGGCAGACATGTGGCAATTGAAATAGAATTGCACCATGTCAAATGCCATGCAATTCTTATTGCATGCAAGGATTTGACCTTGCAATTTCTTTCTGCAAGTTCTTGCGCGTAGTATTGCTCCATGTCAAGCGGCCTAATGATATTTCCGATAACGATAAGTATAACAATAATGTTTACCGCTAATTCGATAAGCTAGTAATAATTAATTAAGTATGAAGTTTTCATCACAAACGACGCAACTTACTTCGTTTTGTACTGTCCATATGTGTATATTGGGTTGCCTATACAATTGAATGATTATGGAGAAGTTGATTTCAACAAGACTCTGCCCTCGCGGCCTCATTATGTAGCTGCTCTCTGTAGTGTAACTGAACTGCAACATGGATTAGAATCACTTAACATCGAAATAGGAAGTGTGATGTACCCAAGTCGAAAGCTATCGCGCTAAAAATAGACAACTAGTAAAGTGTCACTGATAGTATTTAACCAACCTAATACAATACATTTTAAAATCCGTTTATAAGTGACTGAGAAATATAATACTTATATAAGTTTGGGTATTCAGTACGCAACACAGTTGAAAGGTTCCACCCTGTATATACAACTTACGACGATACATACATTTTTGAGAGTTGGCAACTATGCCATTTCTAGGTGCTGCCTGCGCCATCTAAAAGCACGAACGGGGGTTTACGTTTGCATCTTGTCTTGAATGGCGGTCGTGAACGCTTCGCTCCATAATTGTTTGTTGTTATTTTGTATTATTTAATGCAGGTAGTAATTTCTGCACTTCTTTATATCGTATTTGTGTTTTGTAGGCCGCATTTTATATTCGTTGTGTATTTGAATCTCTGTTTTTGAAATTTACTTGGTTTAACCGCTCTGCAGCATCATATGTGTGATACCGTTCTGCTATTGTTTGTAATTGTTTATGTAATGTTTGCTTAATTTATGTTTATTGATGTTGATTACTTGGTCTTGTCTCTGAAGTTACATTCATATAAGTTTTGATCATTTTATTTTAATTTGTGGAAATTACCGATTCGTTTGATATATGTACTGACTTGTAGTTTGTAACTAACAATTTTCTCCGTGAACGAAGCAGTCACGGGGGTGGAAAAAAAACTGTAGTTAAAATTGAAGTACGACACCTAATTCCGTGATTGTCGATATCCAACTGTAGGCTCGAAACTCCGTAACCAGGGGCGGGCTACCCATCTTGCAGGAGCTAATCAAAGCTCTTCAGTTTAGAATCTATGTGCGATAAATGAGTGGCGATTCAATAATTTCCACATATCTTGTTTTTAGTTAAATTTGCCTACAAGGCCATATCTTGCTTTTAACAAAAGGACTTTATTGCGCCAAAGATGAGTCACATCCTATACTCTTAACACTTTCTCAGAATTTAGGTACCAGCTAATACCTGACCCATTGTTCCCAAAAACTTGCTTTTAACCTTTATGCATTTACTATCTTTGTTAACTACTGCTTAAACTTTTACAAAATATTTTATTGTTAATTAACTTTTGGACTGTATTAA